GTAAATATTTATTCGATTACCTATGTATGCATGCTAAGCACGTATATATGGTTGCTAATATCTAGTTATTCGGTTTATCCACATTAATATATATATATATATATATATATATATATATATATATATATATATATATATGTGAAAAATATATAGAAAATAGGAAGGAACTGGTTAGGTAAATAATCCAAAGTCCCTTAGTATTTTTAGTTATTATTTTAAAAAATAGTGCTCGATACAGAAGTAGAGCATAAATATAATTATTTATTTAAAATATGATTCCAATTCGCGACATACATACATACACATATATATATATATATATATATATATATATATATATATATATATATGTGTGTGTGTAACAATGAGGGGCAGTGTTCAAAATAACGATGACCTATCCAGTGCCGTCCTAACTTGGTACCGTTGATGCGTACTGATATACGAACCCCTCTTCAATAGCGATATGTCGCATATATCTTAAAGAACGCTTTGTTCATTTTTAGAAATTAATTTTAAACATTAAAAATTTTAATTAAAAACACAAGAGGAGGGAAAATATATATATAAATTGAAAAAAAAAATCTGAAGATATGTTGCTCTTAGTAGGACAAGAAATAGACAGACTCTGAAATTAAAGATTGAATCTCCAGATTACTCAAACCCTCGGAGTTTATACAAAGAATATTGTGCTTTGGGAACTTTTGCAGTAAACATAATTTTAGTTGTAAATATTTAACATTTATGAGGATAATATATGGATATCTTTCCTTTGGTGTTTATAAATTGTACACTGTTTAAATATAACCTTAACAACGAACTATTTTAAATTACAAAAGTGTACTTGGTTTAAACAAAAAATTACTTACACTATCTATATTACATACTAGCAGTAGAGCCTGGCGTTGCCAGGGGATGTAACAGATCAAGTATCAACCATCATAAAGACTGAAAAATAAAATTGACAAAGATTATTGTTTAAGGTTTTTTTGGGTTTTTTTTAAGAATTGGTCAAACCCAAACTCAATGTTTTCAATTGTTATGGGTCTATTGATTGAATAGAATTTTATTACAAACAATTGTCTTGTAAATGGAATTTTTAAAGCATTCTGAATGTAAAAATAAAGAAAAAAGTGTGCAAGACAATAAGAAACACTACCTGCCAAAAAAAAGTGAAGTTTTGTTGAAATTGTTTGAAAAATGTAGGAAATAAATAAATATATAATGAACACACACACACACACACACACAACCTGGGTTTTATAAGCATAACACGATATGAGTTGTCCCCCTTTCATTCTGCGAAATCGATGCCTCTTAATCGTGTTTTCAAATTGATTTCGTACAAAAACAATTGTGTTTTTTCAATTTTTGGCGCTGTCAGAACCACCGCAAGGTAATTTTACGCAGTCCTGTGAAGTTTTGTTGAAATCGGTTGAAAAATGTAGGAAATCCAATCCAATATATAAACGTACAGACACACACAACCTGGGTTTTATAATAAGTATGATTACTTATAATACATTCCTTTTTGGCGTCAATTTTGACGGCACGGATATACTAATATAGAAATAGTTTTGGTTAATTTGCAGTTTAGCATCCACACTCAGTTCGCATTAATTTCCAGAATACTTACAAATATTAAAATTAAACGTACATTTATTCCTTATCGTTCACTGAAGCTCATAGGTTAATTTGCAGTTTAGCACCCGTGCTCAGGTACATTTAGGTGTAATTGTACATGCTTCATTCGAATCTGGCTTGATAAATTTGATAAAATCTACCGTTTTAGAGTTATCGACAGTAAAATTTCCGATTCATTCGCGTCGTTGGCGGGAGCCATTACTGGCGTTGTTTGCATATATTTGTTGCGGAATAGCTATGACTGGATAATTCACTTGTCTTGATTATTACGCACGAAATATAGTTCTCTTGCGTAGTAACTGAGACAAGTCGAATCGAGTAAGTTCAGTAAAAATAAGGCTTTTAGCGACATTCTTCCGCGCTAAGCTTTCCAGAACGAATGTATAGAAACAACGATAGTAATGGCTGCCGACCAAAAAACGCTGCTGAAACTAGACCTTTTGGAGCTCCACCCTTGTCGGGGGTTCCTGCGTAGTATACAACGCACCGCACGATTTATATTATTAGTTGATGACTGACAATGTAACGTCAGTTTAGAAATAATAATAAAAAACGGTGGATGGCCATAAACAATGCTGAAAAATATGGTAGAGGCTACCACAGGACCCAAAAAAACGCAGCGACCACCCCCAATCGGGGACAAGACGCGCTTGTGCTGCACATACATATGCAAAATAAAAGTAGTGCCTACGACGTGATTCCAAAATGCACTTCCTGCAAGAAAGGTGTATTTCGGCAACAAGAATTCTTACATGAAGACAAAACTCCGATGAAAGTGTAAAAATAGGTTTTAATACCAGAAATACTTTGAAAAATATTATTACCAGCAATAAATTTTTGAAGAAAAATTATTACCAGTAATACATTATTACCAGCAATACATTTTTTTTAAAAACAAATATTACTAGAAATAAAAATTGTCGGTATTAAATAACCCATTGAGGTTGATATGCCGTAAACCAAACCAAATCAATACACAAAACTCAATACTTGAAAATGAATGTAGCAACATTCGAAAGTACACAGAGGAAAAAATAAAATAAATATGAACATCATGTTTAGTATTTTCTTAAACCTGTTCTTTTATTGTCCTTTCTACCCAGTAATGTTTTTTCTCGGTTTTGTTCCCTCTCAGTACTCCCTTTTGTGTTAGTGGCATTATCATCTTGTTTGTGGTGAAATTATAAAAAAGAATAAATAATCTATCTATCTATCTTCTATGGCAGTCTTCTCCTTAAGTGTGTATCGCAGTTTGCCTCTTATCTATCTATCTATCTGATTCTACTCAATATATGTCTATCTATCTGATTCTACTCAATATATGTCTATCTATCTGATTCTACTCAATATATGTCTATCTATCTGATTCTACTCAATATCTATCTATCTGATTCTACTCAATATCTATCTATCTGATTCTACTATCTATCTATCTGATTCTACTATCTATCTATCTATCTGATTCTACTATCTATCTATCTATCTGATTCTACTATCTATCTATCTATCTGATTCTACTATCTATCTATCTATCTGATTCTACTATCTATCTATCTATCTGATTCTACTATCTATCTATCTGATTCTACTATCTATCTATCTATCTATCTGATTCTACTATCTATCTATCTATCTATCTGATTCTACTATCTATCTATCTATCTATCTGATTCTACTATCTATCTATCTATCTGATTCTACTATCTATCTATCTATCTGATTCTACTATCTATCTATCTATCTGATTCTACTATCTATCTATCTATCTGATTCTACTATCTATCTATCTATCTATCAGGTACCCAGACAGTGAAAGAGACATACTCGATCACTATAACCAAGTACAAAACACATTCTCTATCATTGTTTTCTTTCTTTGAATCCACCATTTCTCACCGTTTCTGTTTTTTGCCATGACCCCGTCTCAGCAGTTTTCAAGCAAGTGCTATTTTCTGGTTAATTGCCTCAATTAAAAAAAAAAGGATAGAAGTGGAAAGGGTAGATAGACTAGAGGCCCTAAGGATATTGCCAGACTTTCTTCATCGCACCAGGGGCCTTAGAATAACAGGGTGACGTAAAATGGGTAGCGTTATAATTGACAGGGCTGATTGAAATTGGTTGTGACATAGCCTTATATATTCATGTGTATGTGTATCAACAAATTCATAAAATAATGCGAATGCATCAGAGACAATTATACACGCAGTTATATAATTTCAAACGTATAGGCATATTCGTACGAGACTCGGTCAAAAAGTAATGTCTGTTGTAATTCAATTTTCAGAATTCGGAGACATTTTTAGTGATAAACAATAAAGTGACTCGAAGCCCAAGGGGAAAACATTCTAACTGTTACTTTCTCTTTTTATACCCATAATACTTTTTTTTTTTAAAATGGCTACCCCTCTGGGCAGATGTAGAAAGTAAATAGCTGTGACAGAATTTCTGTCTTTGCATTGCGAAATTGCTGCAAATATCCACCGGAGGTTGGTGAATGTTTATGGAAAGGTTGCACTTGATATGAGTACAGTAAGACACTGAATCAACAGAGTTAATAGCATTCTTGAGGAGAAAGAATAAACGGATCTTTGTGTCTGGTATTTCAGTGGCTGGCCATTTACTTCCTATGAAGGAAGTGAATTGCTTGATTCATTTTCTACAGCTTATCAACACTTTGTGGGTTATTTAAAGCCAGAAAATATTTTTAGATTGTAATAATGTTTTTGGAGATGACACTGAGATCCGTAGACATATTGGGATGGCCAAGGACACATTCCAAATGCTGGGCAGAGTATTGCGAGACAGGAGGATATCTTTGGTTACAAAGAAAAGAATACTGAACATGACAACTGTCCTTCCTTACGGCAGAGAATGTTGGACGATTTCCTCAAAGATGAAGAAGAGACTCGAAGCGACAGAGATGTGGTTCTACAGAAGGATGCTGAGGATATCATGGACCAAGCCTGTGAACTTAGAGAAGTTGCAAACTAGATGGAGGCTTATATTTGACATCAGGAAGAGTTTCTGGGACACATAATGAGGAAGGAGGGCTTGGAGAATGTGACATACTTGTGGGCTTAAGCAAGTGGATGACAGAACATTGTCAGGGGGAGGAAGCAGAGGGAAGGAACTTGTTGAGAGCTGCAAGGGATAGAGAGAGGTGGAGAGACATGATCACCTACATCCTGAAAGGACATGGCACATAGAAAAAGAAAGATAGAGATCTTACTAATTAACCCATAGTTGGGGTAAGAAGTGCATTGATACCTTCCTCAATGGTATTCACACATAACAACCCCAACTGGAATTTGAATTCAGCTCTCTGATTAACAATTCTGAGCAATTATCCATTACACAAGCTTACATCACCTGGTATTCCTAAGCAGTCACCCATCTCAGTACTGACCAGGCTCAATGTTGCTTAACTTGGGTGATCGTATGGAAACTGGTTTTTGAAAGTAATGAGGCTGTAAGCCTTTTTGAAGGAAGGTAAGGAAAAAGCAGTATGTAGTTTTTATTAGAATTATATGTCCTACTGTTCGAACCAATATGCTTATGTTGGCTGTTATGCTTACAACGTTTCGGTCATTGTAACCTTCTTCAGTTATCTGTCTTCATACTCCATCTTTTTGAACCAAATCATTTATTCAATCCATACAGTTGATTATTCTCATTCTGCTTGCTTTGGGAGTAATGCTCTCTAGTCTTATTCACCTTTGTGTCACTTGTCCACTTCCTCCACTAAATGAGATCATGTGACTTTTGAGTCCTTTCAGACTCAGGGATCGAACTGAGAATTGTCAGAAAACCAGATAGGTTTTAACCAAACCTCTATGGAAACCATGGTAGAATGTGAAGGTTAGTGCAATTTTATTGGATACCTTATGGTCTGCGGTAAATGCATTCCCAGAATGCTGCCAGACCTTGGGAAGAAATGAATATTTTTTGCTGTCAAAAGGCTTCTGGAATTGCAGAACACTGATAACACTTCTCCAGTAATGATTAGATAAAACGGGCATAAATATGAACTTGTATGAGGCAGGTATACATGTCTTTATTCAAATGTGAAATAGAACAATTGAGAAGGAAGGAAACTATGTTGAAAATTAGATTTGAATCTCTAAGACTTTTCTGCTTGTTTTAGTATGTTTTGTATGATTCTACTATTAATTAACTAATTAATAGTTAATTATAATTAACAAAGAAAATACATTTTCAGTCTCGTACATGATTATAGAAAATAGATATAACTAAGTAGTAACATGTAAGTTAGGAGGCATGGTGGAGTAATATATAACGGCTTGTATTGAGGAATTGGAGAGCCGAGTTCGAATTACAGTTGGATCCATTACATTTACTTACATGCTAATACCCTTGGGAAAAGGTATGAATCATCTTCTTCCCCACCCAGCTATGGGGAAGCAGCAAGACAGACCGGGTTCTATAGACTTGGATGGCAACTGGTCTACTGCAGAAAGAAATGGCAACCTACTGCAGGAAAAATCTGCCTTGTCAGTCATGTATGAAAATATACATGATCAGCTAAGCATCTATCATGCAAGCACATAACTGACCAATTTAAAATATCTTTTACCCACATATATACATTCTCTCTTAGTCTCGTTCATTTGCTGTTTTTGCCTTTAATGCTCTTCTTCCAATGTATACATTTTAAAAACGGAGGCATCATGGAATAATGGATAGCGGCTCTGATTGAGGAATCGGAGATCTGAGTTCAGATTCCAGTTGAATCCATTACATTCACTTACATGCTAATATCCTTGGAAAAAGGTATAAATCATCTTCTCCTGCCAGCTATGGAGAAACAGTAAGACAGACCTGGTTCTATAGCCTTGGATGGAAACCAGTCTAGGAGAAGGAAAAACTCTGAATTCAAAACTGACTTGGAGAGGGTTGGGCTCCATCAGGCCATCTTGTCCAAGAAAAACCATTTCTACTGCAGGTGCAGTATGTATTGTCCCCCTATGACCCTATGAGTCACGGGATAAAAAAGAAAGAAAAAAAAAAACATGTACGTATTTTTTTTTTTTTTAAATGTCTAGAGCCATTCATCTTCGAACTTTGTGACTGGTGTTACAAAATCACAAGAAATTGTATCAAGTAGTAAAAAGAAACGCACATGATCTGAAGACTTTCAACAGCAGCAACAACTGAAATGGATAGCACATGTATCTCGAAGAGAAAATAATGACAATCAAGATGTTGCCGTTTCACACTACTTCTAACAAAAGGTTAGGAAGGAAACAGCCATCACTCATGGAAAAAGCACTTATAATGAACTTGACAAATCTATTTCCTGAAAAAATTCTCAGACAAAGATTTTGCAAGCCTCGACTGAAAATAGTTCTGGCTGTTTGGTCAATGAATACCAATTATTTTCATACCTGAAAAATGGGTAATCTAAACACCGCCATGACCATTTATTGCTGAAATTGAAATGGAACATTTATATTCTGTTTAAGTATAAGTTTTTTTTTTATATATCTAGAGATTCCTAATAAAATCTAAAGAATAATCTGCAATATTAATAGTCCTGACCTGGCATCTCATCTTCACTTTCACACAGCTGTAATGTATCTTCCCTGTATCTTTTCTATAAATACTTTCATGGAATCTGTTCAGATGAACTTTCCTTTTCTTGTATATAATTGTATTCATTGGGATTACATTTTTAACCCTAGAACACTAACCATCAATTAAAGTTATCCCACGACTAACCTTGGGTATATCATACCCGATTTTGAAAATATCAAAAAAAATATTAAATATAAATCTTTATTTGAAATATTTTTACATGCAGGCACTTCAAACTTTGTACTTGGAGTTAACAGTGATAGGAACTGAAAAACATATTATTTAGGTAAGAAAATCAGGTACTGAAAATTGTAATTAAAAATAGGAAAATTTGCGCTGGGTACGATATACCCATGGTTAGTGTTCTCGGGTTAAATGTTGTTATTTTTTATTCCCCCTACCCTCTGACAAATTGTACATATGGGAACTAGGTAGGACTACATAGAGACATTGTGGTATTATGGTGGCTGTTGTAAGAATGGTAAGTAAGAATGTGTTGTTTTGGTGTATGGAATACTGTGGCGTGTTTGGGTTTAGTAATTGTGGCAAGCTAAGTTTAAGATACAGTAAATTGAAGACCAACCTTTGCTCATCCCTGCCTTTGTGCCACATTTTTGTAGCTTTACAAAATAAGTATTACTTTCCTCTATGGTATCTAGACTCTATGAATTTAAGCACAGTACTTGATTGGCAACAAAGTCTTATCCTTTTACAGTTGAAATGGCTAGATGTAACTGTAAGTTCTATGCTAACAGTTTCTTCTATTGCACTTCTCACTTGTGGAACTTTCTTCTGGCTTCTTGCTTCCCAATGAACTTTTATCTTCAAAAAGTTAAATGCAATGTCAAACATTATCTTCTGTCTGCTTATTCTTTTATTGTTCTTTCTCCTTAATAGTGCTTTTTTGTCTTACACTCAGTAACTGCTTGCATCGTAGTAGTTATATTGTCTTGCTTGGGGTGAAATTATTATTTTTTCTTCAAACTTGATAAACTCTGTAATTTTTTTTTATGTCAGTCCTGCCTGTACAGTGTTCATTTTCTTTTACAGAATGACAAATCATGCTACCGACATCTCAATAAAAAAGAGAGAGAAGCAAATAAAAAAAAATTGATAACTATCTTTGCATTTGTTTCTATGTTTAACAACAGCGGGTCTTGTTAATCATATGAAATGCTAAGATGTACAAGTAAGATTGTCAAAGATTAACCAGCAACTAAAAACTAACAAGCTCTGTGTGGGCTTTTAATGGCAAATAATATGTTGGCTTGAAAAGTCATCTTTGTTCTCACGGTAGAAACAAACTATGGAAAGCTCTATCTAGAGATAACGCTGACCATGTGTTGCATTTGCCTATCTGATGCGAAAACAAATGCCAGTCCAGGAAATCATTTGAGAATGCATGAAAGAGCTAAGTAATAGTTAAAGAAAGAAAATGGTTGTACTTAAAATTAAGTAAACAGCTATATATATATATATATATATATATATATATATATATATATATAAAAAGCAGACAACGTTAAGATTCCATGTAATAAGCTATTTCACCATAACCCCTTTAACAGGGTTCTGGATCATCAGACTTTACTTTCAAAAGCTGAAATGAAAGTAAAGTCTGATGATCCATAACCCTGTTAAAGGGGTTATGGTAAAATAGCTTATTACATGGAATCTTAACGTGGTCTGTTTTTTATTCAAACATATCTGCTCTGAATTTTACATTGAGCTCTCTGGATATCATCCTCCTCAGGTCTACCCATACGGATTACCTAAACTATATATACATACATACATACATACATATATATATAATACTGTATACTAAGACATAAGTGGTAAGATGTCATTATATATATATATATATATATATATATATATATATATATATATATAGTGTATTTGAGCAGCAGTTCATATTTTATACAAGTTTTGTTAAAAACAACTAACAAGGTACTGTAATTAAGTTTTTATTAATTTTTCTTGTGTTCCTATAATCTTACTTTTCTGTAAATTATTTTTTATATGGAAATTGTCTAAACATTCTTTATGTCCAAACGCCTTTGTCTTCTTTTATGCATGTTGTCGTATATCTATTATAATTATTCATGAATTTGGTTTGACCAGAGACACAGGGACATTTGAATTCATAAATGATATTGGTTCTCTGTAATTTGAATATTGCAGAAAATTTAACTTTCTTGTTTTTGTCAACTGGAGTTGTATCTTTCTTTATAATGTTACTTAGGGAACATTCTTATAGTTACCATGCATTTGATTTGTATAGAAAATGTTAGTGTCATTTTTTTTATCTGTATGTTCATTGTTGCTATTGGTTACTATAGAAAGAAAAAAGTCTAATTTGGTGATCTATGATGTAATTTTAATGACTATATATATATATATATATATATATATATATATATATATATATATAATAAAGAAACAATTTATACAAAGAAGTAAATAGCAATGTTAATGTGATTAATTGTGAAATCACTTCGCCAGCAAGACTTAATGAGATATTAACTTACTATCAATTCCTTGAATAATAAGATCCTTATGTTCGAGTTGTCAGATGGAAGACACATGCCAAGTACTTTGGACAATTTTAAATTATCTTCACAGCGCAATTTTCCCATACACTGGTAAAGTATGTGTCTAGTTATTAATCACATTAACATTGCTATTTAATTCTTTGAATAAATTGTTTCTTTATGATACAAAATATAAGCTGCACACGCACACTATATATATATATATATATATATATATATATATATATATACATACACTCTAATGTAATGGACTTTATTTATCCATCTGACAGATTTTTTATCACTATTTACATTATTTGGA